CATTCCGTTCCCTCCTTTCTTCCGCGCTCATCATCGTTTCCAATACTCCTAACAGAGATTAAGCAACGCAATCAGGTATACGTACAAACATAAGACTAAATCTAGGTCTCGGAGCTTCTGAAAACATAAGACTAAATCCAGGTCGCGGAAAAGCCGAAGTTACCTGACGGCGGAGGAGGAGCTGGACCACGCATCACAGGGACTTTATTCTAATACACCCTACAAACTCGGTTGTTTATTCTAATTTGTCCCTTCTAATAAATTATTTAATTTTCTTTTTCTTTTAATTACAGAAATGTAGGTAAATAGAAAACTACCCTTGATGAATCTACAAAACTACAACCAAACCTAACCTAAACCCTCTAATCTGTTCCAAGTATTTATTTTTTTCCCTTTAGTCAAAATTACAATTCCCCAATCCTTACATTTTCCCTTCTTTTTTTTTTGCTGCAATCCTAATCGACAGAAAAAAAAATTTCTTTGTTTTCCTATTCAAAATTAACTCTGAATCACTTCTCTCTTACTCTGAGATGTTTCACCGGTGATAAAAACCCATGAATTCGTGTTTCCTCTCTATTCTATATAACTCCTGCCATGGAGTATAACAAAAAAATGTTTGTTTTCGCTATTTGAAAGTCAAAATCGATGAGTATTGACAAAGATATTTGTAAGGTGTAAACAATAATTAAAACCCATAAAAATTGAAGATCCGTTGAAGAAAATCCATGGCAGCCGCAGGAAAAAATCACAGAATCGACAAAACCCTAATAGGAAGAAGAAGAGATAATTACGAAACTGCCATTCATTAATAATATAGAAAGAAAAAAAAATCCTAGAATCGAACCCGGGGGCTTCTTTGATTAGAAACAAGGAGAATACCACCAGACTGCAAGATACTTTGTGATATTTGCATAAACTAATTTTATATATACTTTTATTTGAAAATAAAATAAGCCAAACCAACAAAATGAAAAATTAAACCCAGGGCTGGCAAGATAACAAGCTAGGAACATACCACCAACATACCACCAGACCACGTGTTATCTCTTTGGTCAATTTATATAATTACCTTTCATATATACGTTATTTTAAAAATAAAATAAAATCCTATTATTAGTCCTCGATTAATCTTTGAAAATTCAATTTTTCATTAACTCCTAGCAAAGTTTTGAACGTAGAAAAAATCTAACCGAATTTTATCATTTGTTAGGGTTTGAATTAGATATTAGCAACAAAAAATGCTTTTATTGGTCGTATAGATCGCGAGTTTTTCTTTAAGAACTTATTTTTTTTATAGTTTTTAATTATAAATCATACATTTAAAACATATATACCATAAACTAGTATTATTTTATAACCAAGTGAAGTAAAAAAAATCATACATTTTAAACATATATACCATAAACTAGTATTGTATTTGAACTACTAGTTTTACTAGGTATTACTAAGATAAATAAAAAAAGTTTCAAATATGTCTAAAACGTTTATAATATATTTAACACATGTTATTAAGGTAAGCTATGTCTAAAAAAATTCTACTACTACATTTTATAAAAAAAGAGAGAACACTTGTTTGAATATTTACACTTAGTAGTACTCAAGGTTGTAGTAATATTTCATTCATCATAGTAATATTTTTGCTAATTTCAGCAATTTTTAGTAATACCACATTAAAAAATCAAATTTATTAGTAATACCAATGTATTTAGATAGTTTTACATTGTATAACACAATGGCGGGAAAAAACTCAGAAAATATGTATTTTCTATTATTCATGTCATTATGGTCTTTCCATCAAGATGTTAGTATAGAAGTATAAAGATGTTTTCTATGGAAATGAGAAGTTTTCTATCAACTTGAGAAATTAAAAGTTTCTTTATGTCTAATTTGACAAATAAACACAAATATTAATATATAATCTCGTAGTATATGAGATACATCTTCTAAAAATAATTATTAAGACGAAAAGTAAGATTCTTAGAAATACGCCTAATAAATAGTAGTTCCAAAGTATTCCAAGGTAATTCAAGGTAGTACAAGGTAGTTCTTAGTAGTTCATAACACATAAAAATAAATGAATAAAATATTTTAAACTTGTAAAGTTTATGTGAACAAAATAATTCTAACTTAGAAAAATTAAATTATTTAAATTTTTATTACATTAATTTTAAAACTATAATTGTGACTATTAAAATATATATATTTTACTAAATTTATATATTTTTAATATTTTTAATAAAATCCAGTTAAAAAGGAATAATTTTTAGAAATTAGAATTTATAGAAATATTTTTTTTAATTTAGTTTTGATTAAAATATCTTGAAGTACATATATTATTAATTTTATTATTTATAATATTTTTATATAACCAAAATTTATAGAAATATTTTCATAAATATCATATTTATTTTTGATATTAATTATTGATTAAAATATCTTTTATTACCATGAAAAAAACCAGTGACAAAAAATAAAAAATACATATTTTATTAAAGTGTATTTTTGAAATATTATTGAAACGATTTATATAAATATTTTTGAAATTAATTTTTGATTTAAAATAGAAAAATATTTTCTTTTAAATTTAACAAATTTTATATAAAACAGATAAATTTTTAATTTAGGAAAATTAATTTATAGATATTTTCTAAAAAATTAAAATTAATTGTTGATTAAAATATTAAATAATTTATTAATTTATTTTCTTATTTAGAAAATGATATTTTAATATATACAGAAAATTTTTATTTTGTTTTCATAATTTTTCGTTATTAAGAAAAAAATTAGTTAATTTTTTAAAAATAAATATCTAGTTTAAATAAATTTGATAAAAAAAATTCTAATCAAAAAAAAAAAATTTGGTGACCCACTCGAAAAAATAAAATAAAATAAAATTGTGGATCCCATAATTTTAGGCAATAAAGATAAAAATAGAAAAGAAAAAGAAAGGGTAAAAAGGTAAAGGGGAAAAGGGTGGGGTAGTAAGATAAAAGGTGGGGTAGTGAGAATATATTTTTTGTAACTAGGGTGATGTAGAATACTTTCCGCATCACAGTCTTATTCTATCTCAAGAGACTAGGTCTTGGATTATGATATGTGGCAATATCATCTCATCCCATATATATATATACGGAAAGGAAGAAAAAAAAAACCACACGAAAGAGCTAAAAGCCCATGACAAAGCTTTTCTAAGATATTTTTTATAGTGTTTATATTGCTTTCAAAATATTTATATTATGTCTAATTTTTATAAAATATTTAGTAGTATATTATATATTTATATAATCTTTTTATGTTATTGACTTGAAAATAATACATTTTAAATATATATTGAACTGTGATGTTGTTACAACATATATTGTATATGGTGTTTTTTGTGTGCATAAATTTTAAAGGTTGTAGATGGTGTTTTTTTTTATATATGTTCTTTAAAATATATTTATATAATATTTAAAATATATTATTAATATATTTGGTGAAAATATATTACTCTAATTAAAAAACTAGATCATGATCGCTGTGTGCGTAGAAATTATTATGTCTAATTTTTATAAAATATTTAGTAGTATATTATATATTTATATAATCTTTTTATGTTATTGACTTGAAAATAATACATTTTAAATATATATTGAACTGTGATGTTGTTACAACATATATTGTATATGGTGTTTTTTGTGTGCAGAAATTTTAAAGGTTGTAGATGGTATTTTTTTTTATATATGTTCTTTAAAATATATTTATATAATATTTAAAATATATTATTAATATATTTGGTGAAAATATATTACTCTAATTAAAAAACTAGATCATAATCGTTGAGTGCGTAGAAATTATTATGTCTAATTTTTATAAAATATTTAGTAGTATATTATATATTTATATAATCTTTTTATGTTATTGACTTGAAAATAATACATTTTAAATATATATTGAACTGTGATGTTGTTACAACATATATTGTATATGGTGTTTTTTGTGTGCAAAAATTTTAAAGGTTGTAGATGGTGTTTTTTTTATATATGTTCTTTAAAATATATTTATATAATATTTAAAATATATTATTAATATATTTGGTGAAAATATATTACTCTAATTAAAACACTAGATCATGATCGCTGTGTGCGTAGAAATTATTATGTCTAATTTTTATAAAATATTTAGTAGTATATTATGTATTTATATAATCTTTTTATGTTATTGACTTGAAAATAATACATTTTAAATATATATTGAACTGTGATGTTGTTACAACATATATTGTTTTAAAATATATAGTGTGTGTAATATCATTTATATCCTTCACCTAAATCAGAATTCATTTTTTTCCCTTTGTTATATTGTTTTCTTTATTATATTTTATCTTCTTACGAGAGATATAAAAATTCTATAAACCTAGAAGAATAATTAATCTTGTATACCCATTTTGTGATAAATTTATCTTTCCAAGATTTGTTAATCCAAGCCTAAAACTTCTTTTTCTAGTTCCATTATGGAAAAACTAGATCTTCCATTGTTTGTTTTCTCCACCTTTTTTTATCTGCTGGTTTCTCACAAAGTTCATCACTTTCAACGATTCAACTGCGTTCATA